TCCGACCCTCCCCCTTTCCCGTCCCCCCTTCGTCCCTCCCGTTTTGCCGTCCCCCCTCCGTTCCTCCCCTTTTGCCGTCCCCCTCCGTTCCCCCCCCTTTGCTGTCCCCCCTCCCTCCCTCCCCCCTTTTTCGTCCCCCCTCCGTTCCTCCCCGTTTGTCGTCCCCCCTCCGTTCCTCCCCCTTTGTCGCCCCCCCTCCGTTCCTCCTCCCTTTGTCGTCCCCCCTCCGTCCCTCCCCCTTTTGTCGTTCCCCCTCCGCCCCTCCCCCTTAGTCGTCCCCCCTCCATCCCTCCCCCTTTGTCGTCCCCCCTCCGTCCCTCCCCCTTTGTCGTCCCCCCTCCATTCCTCCTCCTTGGCCGTTCCCCCTCCGTTCCTCGCCCTTGGCCGTCCCCCCTCTCTTCCCCCCCCTTCGTCGTTCCCCCTCCGCCCCTCCCCCTTTGTCGTTCCCCCTCCGCCGCTCCCCCTTTGCCGTCCCCCCTCCGACCCTCCCCCTTTGTCGTCCCCCCTTCGTCCCTCCCGTTTTGCCGTCCCCCCTCCGTTCCTCCCCTTTTGCCGTCCCCCTCCGTTCCTCCCCCTTTGTTGTCCCCCCTCCGTTCCTCCCCCTTTGCCGTCCCCCCTCCGTCCCCCCCCTTTGCCGTCCCCCCTCCGTTCCCCCCCCTTTGTCGTCCCCCCTCCGTTCCTCCCCATTTGTCGTCCCCCCTCCGTCCCTCCCTCTTTTGTCGTCCCCCCTCCGCCCCTCCCCCTTAGTGGTCCCCCCTCCGTCCCTCCCCCTTTGTAGTCCCCCCTCCGTCCCTCCCCCTTGGCCGTCCCCTCTCGTTCCTCCCCTTTTGCCGTCCCCCCTCCTTTCCTCCCCCTTTGTCGTCCCCCCTCCGTTTCCCCCCCTTTGTCGTCCCCCCTCCGTGCCCCCCCTTTTGTCGTCCCCCCTCCGCCCCTCCCCCTTTTGTCGTCCCCCCTCTGCCCCTCCCCCTTAGTCGTCCCCCCTCCACCCCTCCCCCTTTGCCGTCCCCCCTTTGTTCCTCCTCTTCTGCCGTCTCCCCTCCGTTCCTCCTCTTTTGCCGTCCCCCCTCTGTTTCTGAGAGTACGACCCCGTTCTATTCTTTTCTCCTTTCCATATTCCCTTTCCATTTCATTCATATTTTTATCCTGATCCATTTGGTTTTTATCTCATTCCATTTGGATTGCTATTCCTTCTTTTCCATAACCCTTTGGTTTATCCTGTTATTATTATTATATCACCGACCAGGCTCGGGATGTACTGGTACACTATATCTAGCGTAATCCTACCGTAATCCCTTAAAGCCAATAGCCTCGCGTGACTATACGCAAAGTGATTCTATTTTCTAGAAGGGTCTATTCCCTTGGGATAGGATAAACCTGGTTACCTGATGTACTTTGGAAGTATAAAAGCGCCTTGTATCAATCGATAGTGCAACCTTTCCTCGACACATTCGATCCTGTGACACCCATCCTCCCCGTTTGTCGTCCCCCCTCCGTGTCATCCCTCCTCCGTTCCTCCCCCTTTGCCGTCCCCTCTCCGTTCCCCCCCTTTTGTCGTCCCCCCTCCCTTCCCCCCCCTTTGCCGTCCCCCCCCCTTTTCCTCCCCCTTGTCGTCCCCCCTCCGTTCCTCCCCCTTTGTTGTCCCCCCTCCGTTCCTCCTCCCTTTGTCGTCCCCACTCCGTTCCTCCTCCCTTTGTCGTCCCCCCTCCATTCCTCCCCTTTTGCCGTCCCCCCTTCGTCCCTCCCCCTTTTGTCGTCCCCCTTTTGTCATCCCCCCTCCGCCCCTCACCCTTAGTCGTCCCCCCTCTGTCCCTCCCCCTTTGTAGTCCCCCCTCCGTCCCTCCCTTGGCCGTCCCCCCTCCGTTCCTCCCCTTTTGCCGTCCCCCCTCCTTTCCTCCCCCTTTGTCGTCCCCCCTCCGCTCCCCCCCCTTTGTCGTCCCCCCTCCCTTCATCCACCTTTGTCGTCCCCTCTCCTTTCCTCCCCCTTTGCTGCCCCCCCCTCCGTTCCTCCCCCTTTGTCGTTCCCCCACTCTTTCTCCCCCTTTGTCTTCCCACCTAATCGCTCTAGATTCTCTCTTGTTGCTAGTGGGTCAAGCTCTGCCCTCTTATCTTCTCCCCCTGTTATCCTCTCCAGTCATGTCATCACGTTCATGGTCGCCACATTCCAAGAACATTCCAAGTCGTCGAAGTTCAAGTTATCACGTTCCAAATCTTCTCACTCCAAATCCGGTCAATCCTGTTGGCACCATTTGATTGATAGATATTTGAAGTTGACTTTTGGTCATGTTTTCGTGCTACCCATTATATATTCGTGTTTGACTGGCGTGCATTTGCATTGTTGTTTTGTGTCATGATTTTTCATGTCGTGTTGCTTGTGTATGTCCGTGTGCATGGTACCATTGGTTGACAATGCATATCAGTTTGTTGGCTTGTGTTGCACGGTGTTGCGCTGTGTTGTGCTTGCAGGGGAAGGATGCTGACTATGCCTAGTGCATCACACAATTTGCGATTGTCATTGCCGGTTTGAGGAATTGCTTCTCAATCCGTGCATGTCAATATCTCTTGTAGCACGAAAGCATTGATGCATTTCTTTCTTTGCAGTCACTATTGTACCGTTATTTGTTTGTTAGCACGTGTTGTACATTGTTGTGTATTGTGCATGCGTGCAGGAGAAGGATGCCGACTATGCCTAGTGCATTTTACGATTTGCGATTGTCGTTGCCGGTTTGGGAGCTTCTTCATAAAACATGCAAGTCAATCTCTATTGTTTCACTGCATTCACGATCGTTTGTTGTATTGTATTGTTGTTGACCCGAGTAGTTGTATGCACGGTACGCGTATTGGTAAGTTGCGCTATGTCTACGTGCTTTGAATGTGGTGATGATGTTGTGGTTCCTATTATTCTCCGTCGTAATTATCGACGGCGAATGATTCGGGCATCTCTCATCATTCTTAGAAAGCTTAGAAAAATGTCACAAAACTCAATGTTGCTCAATTATTATGTCGTCGGCATTATCGACCACATAATAATTGGGAAACATAGATTACGGTAGCAAGAAAGAACGTTTGAGACGGTAGGTTTCTGAGTTATGGTAGAAGGAATCAACAAACAAACAATACGTAGAGATTCTCCACTTGAGAATGTAAACATTCAGATGATAAATAACAAATTTTAGATGGAAAAAAAAAAAACGTGTCCTTACAGTGAGCGAAACATTAGACCAGAGAAAATATGTAGCTCGGGTTACTAGGCCGATTAAATAAAGTCGTCCGAAATCGGTCCACCGACCGATTGTTTTTGGTTGCCACGCAACCCAGAAATCTCATATTTTATGTTTTGTTTTTAATGCAGATATCGTCTGCATGGCGTGCAAATGTATATCATCGGTCCTTTTTCGTTAGAGTTGTTTGCGGCTTGATGTCTGCAGTACATACCCGGTACGAGTACCCGCGCGCTGGCCTGCGCTTCATGTTTTGCGCAAGACCTTCGCTGACGGCGGCGCTTACCGCGCAGCGACGCCGCGCTTTCAACAAACGCCATTGGCTGATGGCTATTTCAGTCTAAGCAGATTTGCCATCGCATGAAGGAACAGCATGCCAGCCCCCGGGTTTGTGGTTCCCTCTCCCCCATCCCAACTGGCTTCCTTCTAGCCATCCATACAAGAGTTCAAGCTGAATAGTGAGTCTAATAAGGAAACAAAACTCCGTGTTTCCTCACAATAAGTGAAACGTCTCTTTACTTTGAAAACAGGGTAATTTTTTCAAACCAACGATCATGACGAGACAAATCACAACATGGGAGCACTCCGAAAGCAAAATTATTGTCCTTCGTCCCAAACACAATGAAGCAGTCCACGCTGGACACTTGACTCCCGACCAACCAACCACACAGAAGTCTTGTAACCCGCCGAGGCTTCGGTTCGGGGCACACGCACTCCGGTTGCTCCCTGGCCTGGACTTGATGGGGGCAGTGACGGCGTCCTGGCTCACCACCAATGGCCTTTGGGCAGCTCGAAAGTTTGGAAGCTCTGGCTCGGGAATTCGAATCGCGTTGTGGTTTGGTGCTTTCCCCCAAACTTACCTGCTGGTGGTGTTGGGTTCTCGCAAGGGCGGCGCAGCAGGACTTTGTCGCCCAACCTGCGCCGGCATGTGTTCCTGCGTGGCTTTTCCCCAGGCAGAGCTCATCACGAGGCCACAGAAATCAGAGAGGTACGGAGCTAGGCTCGGGTGGCTCCAAACATGCACGTTTTGCCTGACCCTCTCGTTTGGACGAGGGAAGGCTGAGGTGAGGAGGGTCGCGTGCCGCTAGTTTTGTTCGTCCCTTGGACGGATGCAGGGAATAAGCGGCGGATGCTTCACCACCACCCACATGTCACATTCGTCCCCTCAGCCTCCCGCGACAAGCCAGCCTTCTGGGCAAACGATAAACGAATCCGAACAACCTGGGCAGATGAAAAGTGATCCAGAAGCTTGATTGCCAGGAAGTCCTGGCTTCCCTTGGGGGACGGAGAAACATTTATAACACATCGGGTCAGGTAACCATGTGGAATTTCGACAACCTAGGGGTGTCGGTCATTCCTCCAACGTGAACCAGCTAGAACGCGCCAGGCAGGCGGCTGTGCGGTAATACAGGGCAGTACAGTACAAACATGTATGCCCAGACCACGGGGATTGGTACGGATTCCTTGCTGGCGAGACATCCCATAGCAAGCACCGTACGACGACACCAAACCTAGGGGGAGACCATTCTGGCAGCTTGCTGCGGAGCTGCGGGCAGGCGGGGGTTCGAGGAGGGTGGCGGCGGGCAGGAAAAGCAGCAGGTTGGGCAAAGAAAGGGTGCAACGCAAAGCAGCAACAGCAGCGGCAGCGCAGCACTCCCCCCCTCATTTCTTCCAAGCTTCTCTCAGCAGCTCAGCTCGTCACTGTAGCTGCGGTTGGTGGTGGACTGGGTCTTTAGACAGATCCCATGCGTGATTCACTCTAGTTGTAGAGAAGCTCGTGAATTTCAGCCCAGCAGCACCAGCAGCACCCGTATCTGTCGAAATGACAGCAGCAGCCTTAGGACCACGAATCCAGTCCCTAGTAAGCTTACTCCCACAGCTAGCGACCAAGCTTCAGTAACGAAGTACAACAGTTAGTGAATAGATCCGTCTTGGGCAGTCCTCAAGGTCGTGCCTTTAGACGCTCCCATGATTTGACCACTTTTTTTTTAGCCCAAGGCCATCTTAGCTCTTGCGATCCTCATACCTCCGTCGCATGCCTCCGCCACTTGCTCGTTACCGTCGATCTCGTTGAGCCCTCGAATCCATTTCCAAATTCAATTCACCCACCTTCCCGCTTGTCCCGCGTTCCCACAATTCACACCGCTTCCGCTTCCGCATCCGCACCCGCACCCACCAGCCACCAGCCACCAGCCGCGTTCATGAGGGCTCTCAATTCATGAGTCAACGCTAAAACGAGTCGGCTCAAAGCCGCCAATTAGTCCGCAACCTACGGAGGGCCGTCGGCGTCTCTTCAATTGCGAAAAGGCGGGACTGCGCCGCCCAGCTCAGCGAATAACTCAGCTTTAGCCGCGCAACCTTGTCGATAGCGCAGCTTTTGCCCCCAAATCGCCCGGTGAATATTAATTCGCTCCACCGGGCTTCCATAAACTAGTCGGCAGCGCTTCGTCTCTGTCAGATTCCGCTTTCGCCCTCCCCTTCCCCTTTCCGCCGTATCACCGCTCGCTGCGGCTCGACGAACGCACCACCATCCGCAGCAGTGGCGGCGTCGGCGAAACGTCCGTTGGCGGTGCCAGCGGCAGCGGGAAGTGCGCCGGCGGTGTTTGCGTCGGCGGCGGCGGCGGTAGCGGTACTATGAGCCGCAAGGTGACGCAGGTGTCGGGGATTCTGGACGTGCATGTGATGCAAGCGGAGGGACTCAAGAACGTGTGCTTATACGGACCGCAGGACGTGTACGCTAAGATCCTCTGCGGCACGCACGGCGACTCGCAGGGCCGCGTCGCGCTACACACCAAGACCGTGAAAGCCGGCGGCTCGAACCCCATCTTCAACCAGCGACTGCAGGTGAGGAGTTGGGGGAGGAGGAGGCGGAGGCGGAAGCGGAGGGGGGGAGAGGAGGGGTAGCAGGACGGCCTCCGCTCTTCCCCACTCCCCATCGGCCTTCCTCGTCCCCCCTCGCCCCGTCCCCGCCCCCCGCTCCCTTAACCAGAAATCTCCCCCCGCCCGGCCCCCTTGCCTTTCCCCTTCCCCTTGAAACCCCCTTGTTGCGCGCCGCCAACCCCGTTCCCCCTCCCCCCCCCCTTCCCCCCCATCTTTCCCCCCTCCTCCTTCCCCCCGCGCCAGGTAGGCGTGCAGGAGCGGCACGTGGAGGTGAAGTGCGAGATCTGGGCGGCGAGCCACAACCGCGGCACGGCGGACGACCAGCTCATCGGCTTCGTGCACGTCCCCATCTGCAAGTGCGTGCGCTGCGCTGCTCTGCTCCCCGCTCCTCCTCCACACTGCGCTTCGCTCCACGCTCCGCTGCTCTGCTACGCACTGCGCTGCTCTTCTCTGCGCTCTCTCTTCCGCTCACTATCTCATCATAACCCCTCTGCCTCTCGTCTTCGTTGACTCCTCCGCTCATACCTCCTACCTCTTCGCCTCCCCTCTCCTCCTTTCCGCCTCTCCCCCTTTCCGCCTCTACACCTCACCCCTGCCCCCTCCCCCCCGACGTTTCCGCTTGTCCCCCATTTTCCCGCCTCCGCTTTCCGCCGCCGCAGAGAGCCGACAGACAAGGCCAAGGGTTCAACAATCCGCGAATTTCTCTTACAGCCAGTGGAGGGCGATACCGGGGCCATCTGCGGAACAGCATCCGCGGCATCCGCGGGCGTGATCCGCCTTGCGCTCTCCTACCATCCGCGCCCCTCCTCTTCCGCCGCCGCGTCCTCCGCCCTCCCCATCCGCGGACCGCCTGGCGGGGGCATCTTGGGCCGCGCGCTCTCCGCAGCTTTCTGCCGGATCGCGAGCGATAAAGCGGGCGCGGGGAGCAGCAAAGCGGGCGGAGCGGCGGGATCGACAGTCTCCGCAGGGCCGGCGGCGGGCGCGGGAGTAGCGGGGGCGCGCGGGGTGGTTGCGCCAGTGGGCGGAAGCATTAGCGGTTGGGGGGAGGCTAGTGCAGCAGGGGGCGGGTTGGGGGGAATCGGGGGAGGCGCAAGCGTATCAAGCGCAGGGCCAGGGGCAGGGGCGCAAGCGTTGGCGCAAGGGCATCTTCAGGCGCAGGGCCAGGGGCAGGCGGCGGCGCTAGAGGCGCAGAGCGCACCTCGCGGGAGGCAGGCGCAAGGGGGCCCGCGGTTTCTGCGGCATGTGCAGGAGGAATCGGCGGACTTGCAACAGCTTCCGCTTCCGCATCTCCTGCAGTCGCACCACTTCCAGCAGTCGCAGCAGTCGCAACTGTCGCAACAGTCGCACCAATCGCAGCAGTCGTTGTCGCAGCAGCAGCAGCAGCAGCAGCAGCAGCAGCAGCAGCAGCAGCAGCAGCAGCAAGGAGGCCTAGGAGGCGCGCTAGGAGGCTCAGGATCGTCCGGTCTAGACCTGGTTCAGGCTTTAAGAGCCGTTGCGGAGGTAGATAGGGCGGGACTAGCAGGCGTCGGCGGAAAGAAGAAATCTAAGTCAGGCCCCATTATTTCCGGCGCAACCGGCGGAATGGAGGTATACGGCGGAGGCGCAAGCGCGGGGATCGGCGGTACTATGACAGCCTCCGCGGGGCTCGGCGGAGCGTTCAGCCCCGGATTGGGGGGAATTGGCGGAGTGGGGGGAGTGGGGGCAAACGGTGGCGCTGGCGCAGGGGGAATGTTTGGCGGAGGCATTGGGAAAGGCATCGGGGGAGGGCTTGGCGGGGGGAGCGCCCATGCGCACGCGATGGCCCAACAGCTCCCCCACGGGAAGCCCAAGGCGCGATCAGGGCCGCTGCAGCACGTGGCGGAAGGCGGGGGCGCGTTAGGCGGAAACTTTGGCGCGGGGGGCGGAGCAGGCCTGGGGAGAAGCGGCCCCGCAACGAGCTGGATAGGGCCTGGGGGAAGCAGTCCAGGCGCTGGCGCAGGCGCGGGGCCGGGGCCGGGGGCGGGGGGGCTGTTGGCGGGCGCGTTCGGCGGAGGGGGGATCTTTGAGGGGGTGGCGGAGGGCGCGTGGGGGTCGGACGCGTCTGTGCTCTCCGCCATCCTGCTGCGCGACGGGCTGCTTGCGCCTGCAGCGGCGGCGCTGGCGCAACAGCAGCAGCAGCCCGGGGGAGGGGGGCGCGCCGGGAGCGGGGAAGGCGGGGGGGCGGCAGGGGCGGCAGTGAGGGGAGGCGGGAGGGAAGGGTTGATGGGGGCGCATCCGCTGCCTGCCCGCTTCTCAGGTCTGAGCAGTGTGGGGGAAGGGGAAGGGGGAGGCGGAGGCGGAGGCGGAGGCGGAGGCGGAGGGGCAGGGGGAGGCGGGGATGGTGGAGCAGTAGCGGGTAGTGTAAGGGGTGGGTTAGGAGTGGCAGGTAATCGCTTTAATGCGTCAGGAGGAGGAGTAGCAGGAGCAGGAGCGCACGGCGCAGCTGGCGCTGCTGCTGCTCCGCCGCGTGTCCCTCCCCTGTCGGCTGTCGCTGCTGCATCGGCTGCTGCTGGTTCTCGCAGCACGCACCACCACCAGCACCACCATCATGGCAATCACCACAAACAACAGCAGCAGCAGCAGCAGCAGCATCAGCAGCAACAGCAGCAGCACCAGCAGCAGCAGCTGGCACCTGGCGCGGCACCTGGGTTTCCACCTGGCATGGGCCACAGCCAGCTGTCCCCCGAGTTGCTGACTCTGTGGGAAACACCTGACGCAGTCGCCATGGAAGCCGCCTGGTCGCCGCCCCACGGCCCCTGGCAGGGCGTCTACCACCACACTTCCTCCCTCGCCGCGCTCTCCCCCACTGGGAGCGCGGGGGGCGGCGGGGGCATGGAGGGCGGGGGGAGGGGGAGGGGGGAGGATGGGGAGGGTAGCGAGCAGAGCGCGGAGGAGGTGTCGTCCACTCAGAAGCGGACAGGTGGCGGGGAGGGGGGCGTGGGTGAGGACGGGAGAGGGGCGATGGGGGAAGAGTGCAGCATGCACCAGACATCTGGAGGGGCAGGGGGGGGCGGTGGGGGAGGGGGAGGAGGCGGAGGAGGCGGAGTTGGAGGAGGGAGAGGGATGGGCGGCAGCGGAGTGGTGGTGGAGGGATCGTTCTTTGAGACGTGCTCCCCGGACCGCTTCCTGCAGTCGCCCCCGCGAAGAGCGGGCATGGAGGACGGCCACGGGGGGGGAGACTGCCTCATGGCCGCTGGGGGCGCTGGCGGCTTGGGCGGAGGGGGGGGGGGTGGGCGCGAGGGGAGTGCGAAACTGGGAGGGGGAGGTAGGCGCGGGAAGGGCGGAGGCGGAGGCGGGGGGGTGGTGGAGAGCCGAGGCGAGGGGGGGAGGCTGTTCCGCATGGCGATGCCGGATGGGTTTGACACGGAAGGATGGGGGTCTGTGGATGACATGGATGTGTCGGGGACTGATGGGGAGGGGGAAGGGGAGGGCGGCGAGGGCGGGGAGGGAGAGGGGGAGGGGGAAGGGATTGAGGTGGAGGGGCAGGAGAGGGGGGAGGTGTATGGGGAGGGGGGCCAGGTGCTTATGTATGTAAGCTCGGATGCCAGTGCTGATGGCGGCGTGTACCAGAGACAGACGCCGCTGCCGCCGCAGCAGCAGGGCCAGGGGCAGGGGCAGGGGCATGTAGGAGCCGCGGGTGGGTTCAGCTCACCAGCGCTACCGCCAGCACCTGCGCCAACACCCGTGCCGTCCCCCGCACTCACGCCTGCCACACCTCTGCCGTCCCCCGCGCTTGCTCCATCTCCCGCCCCCCGCCTGCTCCGCATGCCGTTCCAGAAGCTGCTTGAGGACGAGCAGCAGCAGCAGCAGCAGCAGCAGCACATGCAACACCAACAGCAGCAGCAGCAGCAACAACAGCTACAGCTACAGTTACAGTTACAGCTGCAGCAGGAGTTAGAGCAGTGTGAGCATGGTTATGGTGGTGGCAGTGGTGGTGGCGGCGCCCCTAGCTGGAGAGGGCGAGTGCAGCTGCTGCAGCTGCCGTCTGGAATCATGGGGAACGCCTGCCTTCCTGCCTCTGCTTCTCCGGCTGCTGGTAGTGGCGCGATGCAGGGTATGCAGGGAATGCAAGAAATGCGTGAGCAGCAGCAGCAGCAGCAGCAGTTCTCGGGGCCTCTAGACCCGCAAATGTCACATGCTCTCACCAGCAGCATGGGCAACGGATTCGGAGGCGACGTGGGACGGCTACATGGAGGGCATGGCAGCAGCACCAGTGGCAGCAGTGCCAGCAGCAGCATCCGCCACTGCACACACACCCACAGGGTGCTCTCATCATCCCAACCTCTCCCCCCTCCTCCTCACACCCTCTCTCTCACGTCTGCCTCTGCCCACCCCACCCCTCTCTCCTTCTCTGCTCCTTTGGCTGCTGCTGCTGGATCCGGTGCTGGTGCTGCTGGTGGCGGTGCATACACCACCCACGGCTCAGTGCAAGGTGCTGCGGCACATGCTCTTGCCGCCAATGCTGCCGCAACTGCGGCTGCAGCTGCTGCCCGCGGTGGCGGTGCTCCAATGAGCCATGGCTCTGGTCTCCCCGCCCCACCGCAGTCCTCCCGCTTCGCGTCAGTGCTTGAGCCCATGTGGACTGATGATGATGGCTTCGATGGGGATGTCCTTTGCGGGGGAGGTGGGGTAGGTGGGGGGGGGAGGGGAGGAGGGAGGTTGGACAGTGGGCGAGGTGGGGGGTTGGTGATGCCCCATGCTCCGCAGTTCTCCCAGCTGTTATCGTCTGGAGGCTTTCCAAGCCAGCACCAGCAGCAGCAGTATGGTCAGCAGCAGCAGCAAATGCATAACCACCAGCAGCAGCAGGCTCATCAGCAGCTGCTGCACCAGCATAGCCATCACCAACAACACCACCAACACCAGTACCAGCAGCAGCAGCAACAACCGCTCCAGCAGCAGCATCAGCCAGGCCTGTTGCAGCAGCGCCACGCTTCGCACCGTCCAGTCACCCCTAATGCCGGCACGGCTGCTATGGAGGCCGTGTGAACAGGGAGCATTGCTTTGCAGCCCGTGTGAGCAGCAGCGTTCAAGCAAGCCATGTCCTCTCTTCCACCCCTCCTCGATCTCCTCTCTTTTCCATCTCCCTGCCCCTCCCTCTTCTTCCCCACTTGCTCCTCCCATTCCACCCTTCTCTTCCCCCCCCTTTTCCCTTCCTCTCTCCAGGCCTCTCTTTGTCTTTCCTCGCTTCCTTCGTCTCCCCCCTCTCTAGCACGCACCCCCATGTGCACATGAACACGCAGTCATGCTTTCATATGGGAGCAGCGCCACCACCTCTCTGTTTGAATGTAGTACGCTGGATCTGTCCTCTGCCTGTCGAATGTCCAATAGTGTTTCTCTGGCCTAGGGTGCCTGCTGGTCTCGTTGCCTCGTAGCGCACCTGGTCCTCCCTTGCCGTGGATCTGTGGCATTGTTGGGGTTCTTTTTTGTTATATGTATTTAGGGCCTAGTATTGGCCCTTCATGTGGGGATTTTTGGAATTTTGTGCTCTGCTTTCCCTTGGTAATTATATCCTCATTGATGTTTTAGCTAGGATACTACGTGTGAGATTGATTGATTCATGCTGGAAAATATGCAAAATTGTTACGAGTGTTCAAAACCCACGCCCCAAATTGCGAGGCGCGGCCTTCAAATGCACTGCATTTGAAAGTAGCGCTTTCGTGGGTGTAGAGGGTAACGTTAGTCTCGCCACTCTGGGGGTGCCTTTCAAGTTCATTGGGTGCTGCAATTTGGAACTCCATGTGTAGCATGTCTTTCGTTTCGACCGTCCATTTTTCACATACCTGCATCTCACAGTCCGCACGCATACTCTTCTTTCTAAAGCACCACCAGTAATTCAGGGCTCAATCTCAACCGTCCAAAACCTTGGGGTCGAATCTGACGGTGCACGAACACTTAGCAGTTCACGAGGAATAACACCATCGCGATTTTCCCGTGCATTTCGTAAAACAGCACTCCCAGAGTGTTAAATGATATTATATATATATATATCATTGTAGGCTTGGTAGATGTTACTGTAAGATAACGAGAAAGAACTAGAAGCAAAAGTGAAAAAGGGAAATATAGCGTTGGAGTTGTACCCTCTAAGAACATACACCCATCTAGCCTATAACTTCTACATACTAACATATGTATAAGTTGACACACCCCCTAGGCTAGATAAGGGGTAGTGCTGAGCAAGAAACGCGCAGCTCAGGGTGGCACTACTAATCCAACCTCTGAGGCAAGAGTCCGAAGACCAGTCAGCAAGAGTGCAAACAAGACAAGCAAACCAGGGTGGCACTACTAGTCCGGCCACTGGAAGAAAAGCCACAAGGCTAGTCTGGAAGGTATAAATATAGAGGAGTACACAATCAAGGTCCTAGCAAATGAGAGTCTACAGGAACCAGACCAACCTGCAAGCAGTGCCGCTGATGATCTCTAGGCGCAAGCGCCTAAGTAAAGATATCAGCAGTGTTGGCACCGGAGGCCAAGTGTACTAAGCGGGCCTGGCGACGCTATTGTAGCTCGCACAGGAGGAAGTACCGCAGCTGGATGTACTTCGCTGTGCCCTCAAGTCGTGGCTCATGACACAGGAGGATCATGGCCCTGTTGTCAGCATACAGAACCGGGGCAGAGCTAGGCCGCTCACCTAAGTCGCCGAGCAAGAAGGTCAGCCAGCGGAGCTCCTGTGCCGCCCTGGCACCGGCGTAGATCTCATCCTCACAGCTAGACTGGGCAACAGACGATTAGCGAGTGGACCTCCACGAGATGGCAACCGAACCAAGGCTAAAGCAGTAGCCCTGGGAGGACCTGAGGGTCTCAGCGTCATCTGCCCAAGAAGCGTCTGTGTGACCAGTAAGGACCACTAGCCCACGTCCTCCCAGCACTAGCCCCATGCCCGATGTACTTGCTAGATAGTGCAAAACCCTCTTAGCGGCCGACCAATGCTGTGGTCGGTGTCTGCCTCTGGCCACCAAGCGAGCCAGGATGCGGAGAGGGTATGTGAGATCAGGACGAGTGCAAGTCATCAGGTACATGAGGCAACCCACCAGCTCTGCATAACGACCTCTGGGCTCTGCTGACTCCTCAGGAACTGGAGCTGAGAGCCTGTGCTCTACTAGCAGAGGTGTGGGCTGTGCGGAGGAGAACTGAAGACCGAACCTGTGAAGGACCTGGCGCACCAAGAATGACTGCGTGAGAATAATGGTGCGCACCAAGTCCAGGTCGTCTTTGTAGACAAGGATGTAGAACGGAGTTCGGCCAGTACGAACAAAGAGAGAGGGGTCTGCAGAGGATGGAAAGAACCACACTTCAGCTAGCGTAGCACGCAGCGTGTCGTGCCACTCACGGGGCGCCTATCACAGGCCGTAGACCGGGCGCCGGAGGAGCCACTGACCAGATGTGAGACGGAAGCGTCGAGTCAGGAGACAGAGGAGGAGTAACAGGAGGGGAACGAGCTGCGAAACGGGCCAGGGACGAGTCCGGCGGAGGAAACATAGGGCCTTGGACAGGAAGGGGAGGAGGCGAGGGGGAAGGCGCAGGCGAGCGGTCGGGGGAGGAAAGGCCGAGTAGGCCAAGGGCGAACACCAGCGGCGACTGCTGCTGCTGCTGCTCGACGCCGACACCTGGACCGCCAGCTGCACCGCGGCTACCTTCGAAACACTCCAATCCAGCACCCCCAGAACGAGAACCCTCTCCAGCACCGGTGCCACCCCCGAGCCCACCGGGACAAGCCATAACAAGAACCCCAGGACTAGCACCCTCCTCAACGCCTGCACCCCCAGAGTCCACGAACGGCTGCTGCTGCTGCGACGGCGGCGGCTGCTGCGGCGACGGCAACGGCTGCTGCAGCGACGATGGCTGCTACAATGACGCGATTATGACAGCGGAGGAGGAGACACCGGGGGAGAGACAAGCGGCGAGAACTGCGCCGCAGGGCCACCAGAGTCAGCGGACTCCTCGACCGGGACAACCGACAGGAGGGGAGTGACGTGAGACACACCAGACGGAGCAGGACGGGGAGGAAGGTGAGTAGGGGCTACTGGGGGAGTGGGAAGGAGAAACAGGGGAGGGGATATTTGGAGACCTCGGTGGGGAAAGCGGTGGTAAAAGGAGATAGACTCGTCGAAAGTGGCGTTACGGGAGTGAAAGAAGCGGTGAGACGGCGAGTGGTAGACGAGTCCCGGGGGAAACCGAGGAAGACACAGGGAACAGTGCGGGCAGTGAGCTTGTCCGTGCCAGAGGCACGAACGTGAGCGAGGCAGCCCCAGACGTGGAACGTGGACGCGTCACGAGGGAACCCGGTCCAAAGAAGGGTCGATGAAACCTGCGGCCGCTGGGAGCGCGGCCACAGGTTAAGCTGGTGAGCGGCGTAGCGAACGGCGAACGGCCACAGAAAATGGGGTGCACCGGCATGAATCATGGAGGTACGAGCCACCTCCATGACCAGAGGGATGCGTCGCTTAGCGACCCCATTCTAATGCGAGGATTCTGGCACGGTGAACGACTGGGTGATGCCCTCCGCACAAAGAATTGTCCAAGCCAACCAGAGGCGAACTCGCCGCCACGGTCGGAGTGGAGACACAGCATAGGGAGATCGAAGTGGAGACGCGCGGCTAGGACCCACGGGATAAGAACGCCAGGCACGTCGGCCTTCTGCTCCAGGGGAAACACCTTGGTGTAGCTTGTGTAGTCGTCAATGAGCACAAGAAAGTAGCGCTCGCGATGCGGCCCTGGGATGGGGCTGGGCCCCAGACGTCCAGGTGCAGTGTCTTGAGTGGTGCGGTGGCAGGGCGAAGCGAGGAGGAGTGAGGAGTACGGCGCAAGCCGACCCTCGACGCAGGGGGTGCACGGCGGTGAAGGCGAGGGAGGGAGGGTAGGGAGCGACACAGGGAGACCTAGGACGAAACCGTGTTGGGACATGTAACGCAGACGTGGGAGTGCGAGGTGACCTAGGCGGTGGTGCCACAGAAGCGACGGATGAGTGAGCGATCGACACAAGCAAGCCGCAGCGACCTGGGTAGACGCAGGACCCGAGGAGGACGTGCCCACTGGTGGGGAAGCAGTGTCCAGCGTAAACAGGCTAGACACAGGGTCCCGGGGGAACGTCGCAAGGGGAGCACCTGAGGTGTCCTCGGTACAGACAGTGTTCCTCTCGTGACCAAGGAACGTAGTGGTGACGCCGAGGTCCTGAAGACAGCCGACAGCAGCTAAGTTCCTGGAAAACGAGGGGATGTGCAGGTCTGTAAGTGAGCCCGAGGGAACCGCCGGACAGGGAAGGGTAGTGTAGCTATGAGCAACGACAGGACCAGAGGAGGGGTCAGCAAGTGCGACGGCAGCAGGCGGCGTGAGTGTGGTGTGGTCGCGGAAGGACAGCGAAGGACAGTGAAGCAGATATGGCAGCCGAAAGAGGAGTGAGTGTGGAGCCTAGGCTAGACAAAGCAAACGGTCCTACGCCTAGCGCAGCAGTGGATTCTGTACTACACACAGGTTCTACGCCTAAACTAGATAATACAGGGTAATAAGATCCGGACACCCTAGAAGCGTCAGTATACAGAGAATCCAAGGCATAACAAATCTGATCCATGTCTAACTCAAAGACAGGCATACCGTGGCACAGCAGACTGGGCCAGTAAGGGAGATCCGGGGCCGGGCCGAAGCAGCGACGAAAGAGGTCGTAGAGGCGGCGGAAGCAGCGGGCGGTCGGGTGGGGGCGGCGGCACACAGTGCCATGGTGGGGGCCGGTCTGGGGCTGGTACCGGCAGCTCACAGCACCGAAGCTGCCAGTAGACGCCGAGCTGCGAGGACCGCCACCGCGGCCACCACCTCTTGAGGCTCCTGGCCACCTCGGCGGGAGGCGGGCCCACGGCTGCTGCTGCTGCTGCTGCTATTTCGACGGCTGCTGCTGCGTCGGCTGCAACTGCTGCTGCTCCTAAGCACCAGCCCCAACCCCCTCGTCAGAACCACTATCCTCGCCACCACCACTAGCACCACCAGCACCACTACCACGCCATCCCTTGGGGCCACGACGGCCCCGATGCGGTCGCAACTTCGGGGACACCGCAACTTCGGTCTCAGCGGCAGGGGCAGCCGTAGCGACCGTGGATGAAACGTCAGCGTACGTGCACTGGGAGGGAGCACAGCCGTGAAAGGTAGGGAGTGCCGCAGCACTGCTCGACTAAGCGATAGTGCACTGGCGAGTCTCTATCTCAGACAGAGTAGTGACAAAGGCGGTTAGTGTCACAGGATCGAATGTGTCGAGGAAAAGTGCACTATCGATTGATACAAGGCGCTTTTATACTTCCAAGGTAACCAGGTAACTAGGTTTATCATATCCAAAGGGAATAGACCCTTCTAGAAAAGGAATGATTCCACGCGAGGCTATTGGCTTTAAGGGATGATGGCCGGATTACGCTAGATATGGCACGCCAGTACATCCCGAGCCTGGTCGGTGATACAATTAGAATAATAGGATAACCCAAAGGATAATGAGAAAGGAGGAATAGGAAACCAAATGGGATGTGATCAAGATAAAATGAGTCAGGATAAATAGAAGAATGA